GGTTTGGCGGCTTGACAAACACACGATCGCCGACTGTACAAGGGTGGTCCTAGACATATATTTTGGGGGGGGGTCACCGGGGGGCCTGGGGGGTACGGGGATCCCCCCCCCCCGGGAAACATTTGGAAATAACGTGCTGAAATGAGTGGTTTTTAAGCTATTTTGAGGACCTAGTTTAATGTGTTCAAGCTTCCCAGTTTATTTAAAGGTCAAAGAAATGTCTAAAAATAAACTTGTATAATGTCATGTTTTTGCATTATTGAGACTTGTGGTTTTAATATCAAAGGAATACCGCAGCATTACAACACATTCAAGCATTATTGATTTACGAAAACACCCTTTCAACTGGTGCCGATGTGCATGCTAAACAGAAATTGTCCAAAATCAGACCAAGATTTTGAAAAAGAGAACTTATTTTATCTAAGAAGTGTTAAGAACTTGCACCAAACACGACTGCATTATACCTGCCCAGTAAGCAACAGTTAACCTACACAAAGTACACTACCAAACTAACATTGCGTCGGCATCCCTTCATTGCTACCGCCTGAAGAATTGGTACTCAGTGTTCTCATTTTTTTCTACGCCAGTGCCAGTGGCATTTTACAAGGGATCAACGTGAGAATAAAGTTTTTGTGCAACGTTTTTGTGGTTGTGCCGGGAATTAAATCCGTCCCTTCCGCATCTAAGCCTGAGACACTACCATTTTGTTGTTGTTTTTTGGCTAGCAACATGCCAATTGGGTTGTGTTACTGTTAAATATGATATAAGGTGCTCTAAATATGAATACTATTTAATATTGAAATTTTTGAAATTTGCTACGGTAATCAAAAATTACATTACTGTAATTACAAATTCCTAATACTGAACTCAGATAAATTAATATTCAACTACCTTTCAAACTTTGACTATTGATACAACCATTAAACATAAAACATTAAACATACTCCCTTAGGGAGTATGTTTAATCTATGATACAACTTATTTTTTTTATCCAATACCCAATTCAAGTTTTTAATCATCTGGGTTAAAATGAATTATAACATTAATGCCGAAAAATTCAATAAGAAGAAGAATGCAGCCGAACGTCGAACGTCAGCATCGGACACTGCCGTTGCCATATATGGCTGAAAGCGTCCGTTGCCTGCCGATCTTCCCTACTTTTCATAACGTACAAAAACATAGTCAGACTTGAACAATCCCAAGTTTTAGGTTAGACTTTGTAATTAGTTCTTTCGTTCGCTACAAGTGTAAAGACTACAATGAATTTCAATTTGGTAAAACGATTTGCAATAAAAATTATTAATGTTTCCCTGGTATAATAGTTTATAAACAATATTTGGGGGGGGGGAGGGTCATGACCCCCCTGACCCCCCCCCCCCCTGGGACCGCCCTTGCGACTGTAAAATGTGACCCTTCATACACTTCACCTTTTATAGGTTCACCTTTACATCGTACTATTGTTACGAACAAATCTGGGAACTCGGCGATGAATCGCCATCTAATCCTTCTTTAGGTGTCAAATTGTACCAATAGACCTTCTCTTGGATACTCCCCTTAGTTCTTGCGGCCATACGCTTGATTGTTCTGTGGTTTCGCTCAACTATCCCGTTTCCACTTGGCCGGTTGACACACCTAAACACAGTTTTTACACCCCATTTATCACAGAGCTGAGTAATTTCTTCGCATCGAAATTTTCCACTATTGTCCATCAAAATCTCATGTGGTGGCCCTCGATCAGTTAACAATTCCAGTAACACTTTAGAAATCTGATCTTTTGTCTCTTTGGGGATCCGGCGCCAAATGCAGAACCTACTTGGACCACAGTCCACAATGGTCATGAACTTTCTTTGACCATAGTGTGTTACGTCAATGGCAAGCCTGTACCAATTGTTCTGGCAATCCAAATACCCAGGCTCCCATTTGATGCTGGATGGATCAATTGACAGACACTCTTTACAACTTTTGTGGTAAAGTTAATGTCTGGATGACACCGTCTGACGGTGAATAAAGTACGGTTAACACCAAAATGATGCATGTCATGAACCTGTTTCACCAATGACTTTTGATCCACACTCTCAACACTCTCATTCTCACACACAAGTGCAATGCCAGTTTCTTTGTTTCTTGCTAACCATTTTTTTGGTACTCTTGTAAGAAGATCTGCTTTGTTGAACTGAAAATTTTAAACCTCAAGTCTAAATATTAACACTCTGCAGTATCATGCCAAACAAAACCAAGTTTAGCATCTAAATATGAATTTGTTATAATCTCTATCACAACATAACATAACAAATATGTAAATCCCTGCTCAGTAGACCTCCTAAATTTTATTTTACACATATAATAAAACTTTATTTGTACATTTCAAACAATTCAACATATGACTATGATTTTCAATCAAATATAATGTTAAAAAAAAATAAAATGAAAGCTCAATAGAGCAATGGGGGAATTGCGGCACCATCTTCAAATTGAATGCTTCGAATTTTTTGTCTAGTTCCCCGTAGGCTTAGCGAAACTGCTCGAATGATGGAAAGCTGGCTTTGGATCCTCAACCATCCGATAATTTGGGAGTATGGTTTTCTCCATTTTACAGCCAGGGCTTCGCTTGTTCTCCTCTGAAACGCTTCATATTCTTTGTGAAGACCTCCTAAATTGAATATTAAGGCAAACAACCATGCCAATGATTCCTAACATGTTTAGTTAGTTAGTAGCTCCTACTCTTCTTTTACGATAGGGAAATGCTTTATGCACTGTCAGGGTCTAAGGTGTATTCTACTCTGGTGTGTAGGACTCTCCACTAAAAACCTATTGGTCCAGGCAATAGAAACCCTCTCGGAAATGCTGTTGCAATGCTTCAAGAGAGTGCCTTCGTACGCCATGGATGGCATTTTAGCCATGATGTTCCACTGGGTTCAGCTGCACTGGTGCAGCACAGCTTTTCAGTTCTCTTAACTTTAAGCAAGAGGTTCCTTTGAGGTTCCTTCTGATTACAGTGCTTCCCATCTAACGCAATGGAAAAAGGTAGGGTATGCAGTAGGCCTACATATCATTGTAATGGTAGTCGCCATACTGACCGCTCCTACTACTAGTCTCTAGTTTAGATGTAGCTAAGTTAAAGAAAATGAAAACAATTTCAAAGAAGATTCAACACCAACTATATCTACGATGAAGTCAAACCTAAGAAGAATAAACTAGGTATTTTAATAGAATAAAAACATAACAAAACCCAATTTTTTAGCAAGATTGACAGGCTAGCAAAACTGCACTTTGGAAACCTAAGAAACGGGTTTCAAGTTTTAAGTAGGCCTACAGTACAGTAGCGTAGAATAATAAAAACAAAAAAAATGTTGGTTGAATAGGATATGTTTGATGCTTAATTTAGGCTACAGCATTTTAAACTTTTTTGACACGTTCAATGCCAAAAAAAACACCTGCATACAATCTGCTATAGACCTGCTATAGATCTGCTATAGATCTGCTTAAGGTGTTATTTCCTAAACTAAACTCCTGTGCAGCAATGCGGAAAGGGTAGAGGTGGATCCTGCAATTTTTTTTGTCTGTCTCTCCTTCACATCCTAGGATGCTAGTTCTAGCCTGCAACTGTTTTACACATTACGGCGGCATTATTACACACGGTAGATAAAATTCATTGGTGATTGACAGGATTATAACCCGGGCCCTCGAGCAGTGAAGCTTTGCGCTCTATACTGAGCTTGCTCCCTGGAGCATATACAGTAGGCCTAATAACTTTTATTGTCAACGGCTAAGATTACAGTGACCCACAAGCAGTGGTGTAGGCCTAGTGGCGTAGGAAGCGCATGGGACCTGTATTCTCTCTGTTGTTTTTTTTTTTTTTTTTTTTTTTGTCCTATGGCATATCCGTATTGAGCTTCTTATGATTTTTCAGAGACATGTGAGCGTTCTAGCACTACAAAAAGCAAAGAACTAATTATATACTAATATATACTAAGTTATTATATACTAATATATACTAAAATTATATACTAATATATACTAAGTTATTATATACTAATATATACTAAAATTATATACTAAGTTAGGATCACTGTTAGTGCTGACCGACAGGTCTGATCAATGGACTAGCAATCTATGGCACTGACATATCGGCCAGGAGACAATGCTAAGTTTTAAGGTTCAAATCTCATTTCAGTTGCCAATTCAAGTATGGAGCACGAGAGAAAATTGCCTGTCTGTGACAGAGCTGGTGGAGGATCACCAATACTGGACAGCTCAAGATGAAGTTAATGTAGGCCTACATATTGGCCGAAGCACTGGATATAGTAGGCCTACATAGTGGATTCTGTTTGAATGGCACAACTAATCCGGAATGTTGCTTCTGTTTACCAATTTTTCCTGTGTGTCTGTCTACTACAAACTTCTATTGTGGCTATTTTTTATTTGTACTGTATTATTATTTCAACGCCAGTAGCATTTTTACTATAAGTCAATCTTCAAACGGCCCAGACCCATTAAATTCTTGTGGGTGTGCTGAAACCATTTTTCAGTCCATAGGAGCTCAAAATGGCTCAACAAAACTTACCTTAGACTAAATCAAGACTAGCCTACCATGTATTTCAAGCTATAGGCCCAATCTTTCTTTTTCTTTCTCATCAAGTGTAAACAAGTCCTGCTGCCAGTAGCCTATTTAGGCTAGAGGCTAGAGTAATAATAGGTACTATCATTGACTATATACAAAGTCAATGGTAGGCCTACAATACGAATTGAAATGGTCCGGAAAAAACAATCAATCATGAAACATTCAAAACCAAACTAAAAGGGTGTACACAACAATAAAAATTGTCAAAGAAACAACATATATGTAAACAATTCCAAAGTTGTTCAGCCATTACAAGAAACCAGAAAGAGCAAACCTAATGTTCATGAAAAAGAAAGAGAAAATCGAGTGTAGGAAGATGAAGATTCAAGTGCAAAAGGTCACTACCAATCAAACTACATGTACACTCTGTTTTACCTACAGAGAATAGCCGTAGTCCTGATATGGACTTGGAAACACCGGCCACTGCAAACAAAGTCATCAATCAGAGGAGCTTCAAGATGTTTACCTTAGTTTATTGTTGCTACAGGAAAAATTTATAATTTTCTGTAGCCCATTGTTTTCAGCTCTCCTTTGATAATTAAATTTTCAATAATAGTACCTACTTAACTACTAGGTTTAATTTGCGACTGAGTAACTTACAAAATTATACAGTACCTACAAAGTAATTTATAAAATTACCTCAGGCGGGAGATAATAGCGGAGATTTTGAGAATGAAGAATTACTAAACAAGTTGTGACCTACTTTTACCATTCTCACACTTGAAGCAAGACAATTTTTATGCAAAACTTGTTTGTTTGTAAGCTTTTGTTGATACCAGAACATAGCTTAGAATGTAGATTAGGTAATGCACATTATCTAATTATTAACGACTAAAATACAAAACGATGTATTTTGTTTGGTAGTTTGGTGTTGTACAGTATTGATAAATTAAGTTAACTCAATTGTTTAGGCCTAATTATAGCCTCGAGTCATACTAACCTTTAAAAAAATCAAATGTCTTAATAAATTGTACAGTAAGTACCAACATTAAAATTTATAAATAAAAAACTTTTTTAAAACAAAACGTTTTTATACGCACTAAAAAGTAGACAATAATTTATAAATATGTGGAGAGTATAAATACTTGTAAGATTTTAAACGAAAAACGTGGGATGCATGCAATAGGCCTAGATGATTTACAAATTACCTTCACCTATTGAACTAATGTAGGCTATTATCAATTGCATGCACCCCACGTTTTTTGTTTTAAATCTTAGAAGTATTTATATACTCTCCAAATATTTAAATAATTTTCTACTTTTAGTGCATATAAAAACGTTTTGTTTTAAAAAAAGTTTTTTATTTATAAATTAGTTTCTACTTTTTAGTTTTTCATGTGTGTGGATGTTATAGTATATTTCGTACCTAGGGCCGAAAATGAGGTTTTGCCGGCTCGAGATAGTTTTAAGTTTCGAGACGAAGTCGAGAACTTAAATCGATCGAGAGCTGCAGAACCATTTCGGTCCGTGGTACGAACGCTATTTTTCACCAACACTATACCCTATTACAACTACTGTATTCACCACTATAATAATACACACTGATAGTCAACACAACTACAACTTTAAGGTTATGCGAAGAAATGATTTGAGGAATCAGCAAAAATAAAAATAAATAGTTGCTAGGCAACGGTGACAATAACACAATTCTATTGCAATGCTATGAATTTTGATTGTGTATTTAAAATGCATTCATGGTTTTAAGTAAGTAAGCGGACAGCTGATTTTGCGGCCCCGGACTGTAAAAACCTGCTCGGTCCCCAAATTACGATGACAGCTGGCATGGCCAGCAAAACGTAACTTTCTGCCACCAATTAACGTATGTACAGCCAAAAGCATCATAGTGTGGTGAAAAATCTATTTCAAGCATCAATATCAGATTAAGACAGAGGCATGTTAAGGTTAATTTGAGTTTCTTTTCATATACCGGTAATTATGTATTAGATTCAATGTATGGCCTACCTACTAACTATAAAAGCCAATCTATTTAATTTATTGTTTAATTTATAGAATACTAGCTGGCCCGACAGACGTCGTCCTGTCCTATTGTGGTTTTATGTCACATGCTCGTTCATTTTCAAGATGAGCTCGTTCGCATGGCTCAATCACGTCCTGGTTGAAGTTCGTTCGCTACGCTCACTCACCTTTAGGTTGGAGCTCGTTCGCTGCGCTCACTTGCCTTCAGGTTAGCTCGTTCGCTACGCTAACTCGCCTCCAGGTTGAAGTTCGTTCGCTACGCTCACTCACCTTTTGGTTGCAAATTAGCTGTTCTCATAAATTAAAAATAAATATAGTGCTGCACCCTGTTGGTAAACCTATTAACTTTTTAATGCTATTGAACATCACAGAATCAAATTGTTTAGTTGCACCAGCTGTTAAGATTCTTTAATTCCATTTAAATATGAGTACTCATAAGGTTAACATGGGAAACTCCAGAGCCACTGGGGCGGAGCCCTATTTACGGATCTGCACCAAACTTCACACAAACCATCCTTGAATAATACTTAATAATGCCTGAAAGTTTCATTACAATCTGTCGAGCGGTTTTGGAGTCCATAAAGGACAAACATACAAATATACAAACATACAAATATACAAACATACATTGGATTTTATATATATAGACTAAATCAATAACAATTGACATCTATATAATTAATACGCTACACGAAAGTTTGTCGGTTGAACTCCTCCGCCATTTCTTAACCGATTTTATCCATTGACGTCTCATTGGAAAGAGCGTGTCGCGTAGATTTGCAAACTGACCTTACATTTTTGAAAAAGTCCCTTGGGCTCTGCCCCAGTGGCTTTAAAAGTTCCCATGTTATCCTTATGAAGAACATAATTGTTTACATTTTGATCAGCTGTATAATTTTATTGCTGTTATTTACTTTTCAATTCAATGAAACACATTGAGTACATTTATTTACTATTTGAGTTTGTGTAAACATAACCCCCAAGACGGATCGTGTTAGTATGGTTGTATCTTAAATTTGTGTATTTATCGTTGTTTTGTGTCGCTATGATGGATTGTGTTAGCATGATTGTAACTTAAATTTGTGCATTTATCGTTGTTTTGTGTAGCTATAATTTGTTTATTATTTGTTGTTTATTTCTTTTAAATGTCTCCGACGCAACGACAACGAAACATAGACAGGAGGCGCAATCGTGATAACGACCGCAACTACAGAACAGTGGCGCGTAATAGGCTTAACTCATCAGCTTAACAGTCTGAACATGAACCTGGACAACTTCAACTATTTGGTTACAAATGCGCCCTTACACTACCCCAAAAAACGACTTTTCGTTCTCAATTGGCCCTCTATTAATGACCTGTGTTGCCTGTACAGCGAGGCATTTTGAGAAGGAGAGAACCGTCCGGAATGCTTTAGGTTTATCAATAACGAAGATAAACAGGGTCTGAGTTACACAACGGTAATATTTGAGTTGACTCTTTTAAATTCATCGTAAATATGACTGTTATTCAATCTGAAATAACTCCTGTAATACTTTGTAATTGCTCGAATTCGAGCAACATGTACACTAGTCTATATATTAATACGCAAGCAGTTTTCTTTTCACAGTCATAACTCGATAACGGCTTGACGGATTTTAACGTTTGAGGTGTCAAATTTAAGGTATTTTCACGTAGATGTGCAAATACGTCTCTGAATATTAAGAAAGGGCATCACTTAAGTACATTTAAGGGCTAAAGTTTGGGAACGGTGGCGCTATCTGTTGACATTAGATCAAACCATCAAACTCAATTCCCTTTGCTTACACAACACATGGACGTAGTTTGAAATAGTTTTTAAGTTTAACCACATACTGCAGGACTTATTAGTCTATGATCCAGAGCAAAGCCGGAATTTAATATTTTCATTTAAGCATCTGTTAACTAAGTCTGGTTCATAAATAATTTCCTATTAAGACCTGACAACAAATTGTTTTTAATAGGCTCTAGTTGAATTTATTTAACTTATCGTATTTTACTGAATTATCATGTAGTTTTGGTTGCAGTTCGGTGTGATTAAGTGAATGTTTTAAAGTGATTATTCACAGTGCAGTTACCCGTTACATTACCATATTATCATGTAATTTACAATGTGTATCAAAATTCCTTTGTAGTGTTTTCTGTTGATTGGTTAACTTTTGTATTTTATCTAAATTTAAAAATAAATGCCACCAGTAAGACAAAGAACTGTGAGTGGCTAGAGGCAACACAAACGAGACCGCTTGCATCGAACCTCCCAATTTGACGGATACAGAGAGGCAGTGCCGCTGTGGTGATACATACAATCTCGGACAAATGAACGTTACATTTTTACATTGTGGCGGCTTACATTTCAAGCATGAAAAGACTGGCCGAGGCATTTCCATTTTTACTCTTTGTTGCCTTAAATAAAAGGTTTGTTTACATCATTTGCGGAATTCACCATTTCAGGAACTTATTGGAAACTCCCAATCTGAAAACAGGGCTGTGAGGCTTGAATCCAGGAATTATCTGGGTAAAATTTGTCAATTCAATTCCGCCTTTGCCATGGTCAGCTATGAAGCTCATATTGACGAGAGGGTCACACAGGGGATCTAAAACTTCAAGATCCATGACACATTTGACCTTTTACCACCGAGTAGGTAATCTGATTCCTCAAGAAGATCATGATCCTGAATATGCATAGATCTATAAGTACCGGTACGCCGTTGGCACTGGAACCCTACAGTGCTACCTACTTATAAAATAAGTAAATAAGTACAGTTGTACTTTTAACACAATTCAAACAAAAAATGCAATGAAAACATATATACGGGAAATAGGGTCACAATGCCAACCCATTTGCCCAATCTTTTAAAACTGTGGCAGAAATTTGTAGTGACGAGAGCTCCGAGGATTCAAGTTAGATTCTTATGTGCATAGTAAGAGACAAAAGAAGTGGACTTCCCTCGCTACAATGATGCTACCTGTATAGATGTCGCAGCTATTTTAAAGCTGAAAACAGAGCACCACCTGGCCAAATAAATCTTTATTTTTATTTTATTTTCAAAAACTAACAGTAATAAATGTTATCCGTTCTAGATACGTCGTTAAATCCACTATTATGTTCCCAACCGGAGACTTTGGTTGGGGCACCTAATTTATACACACCTAGAACAGAACATATATCGCAGAAATAATTTAACAATGCTACACAGTTACGTGTTGTACTGGTTTGCGTCAAGAGAGGGGAGGGGTTTGCTTGCTAGGTCTGAAAAGCTCACTTTACAGTGTATGGTTGACATCTACATTCTCATAGAGGGCACCCGCCTTCAGTACATAGGAGATAACCAAAGCAGTATGAGAACGGATTTATATTTTAAGATCGTACCGTAGATTACTTTTCTAATTTTTTACAACATACCTAATATTTTTTACATTTCTATAATCA